TAGCTAACTAACTAATTAAACTAAACAACTAACTACTTTGCCTTAGGAAATAAGGGATGTCCATGTGCATGCTCGGTTTCCACTTGAAAAGACCACCGTTTTGCTTCCGGAGAACTTCTATTGCACAAAAGAACACACAAACTGTTGCCCATTTCCAGAATGACTTTGCTTTGCCAAAGGAACACACTGTTGAATTTTGCATCAGTCGTCGGCCGGCCAGTGATGAAGGTTGCCAGCCACCAGTGATAGCCGGCCGACCATGGAAAGTGGTCTGACGGCCACTATTGCTCAGTTCTACTAGCTGTAACAGAGGACAAACAGAGCATATACAGGGTATTTCAAGGGCTTGTTTGCACCACTCACCCCTCATTTTCATGAGCAAATCAAAGGAGTAGCAAGTTCGGTTCACAAACCATCAATGGATGCAATTTCATTACATGATGGCTTATAAAACCAAGTGTGCAAGCTCAATAAATGCAACAAAACATGACTCATACCACCTCCCTATCATGGAAGATCAAGGGAAGTAGTGACCTTGGAACCTTGAATCATTTCATCACTAATGAGTATGAAATGGTTCAAGTTTCCATATGTTCAATTAATGTCTGATTGAACACAACCAAATTATTATCTTGCTCACTTTTAATTCGAAGTTTTAGTTATTTCATTTTAGTTACCTTTTCATCCTTTAATCAATTGAGTCCAAAGGGTGAGATTAAGTCCTCTAATGGAAAGAGGGCTCAAACCAAAATTTGTTTTAGGCATGAAAGAGACATCATACCATTAGTAATGAACCTCCTAAGGGATTAAACCATTAAGCATGGCACCTCAATCTCATGCATTTAACAAACAAGTAGTTTAAACCACTTTCAAAACAAAACAAAAGCCAAGAAAGGAGGGAGGTTGCAGAGATTATTAATTCTAAAAATGTGTGAGAAAAGCATAAACAAATGCTATCAACTCAAAGGAGAAGGTGTCTAAGGCCTAGAACACCAAACTCATGAGGACTATTACACTACAAGCATACAAAACAAAGCTTAAATGCAACCAACAGCCCAAAATAGTGCTAAAACAGATCTAATACAACCCTAAAACATGTTGGAAATAAGCTAAAAGTAACTAGATTAATATGCAAAAACATGGCACAAACTAGGCCAGTAAACAAGACACAAGGAGGGGAGGCTAACCCCTCCAAATTTAAAATTCAAAACATGATTTTGGCCACTGAAATAGCTCTGAAAATCAGTGTTTAAAAGCTTGGAAAAATATAGTAAAAGGGTGGGAAACACAAGGGCTAAGGCCTCCAAAATAAGGTACAAAGAAGGGTGAACCACCGCTCAACCTTTAATGGCCTCAGGACCCAAGTTTCAGCCCAAAAATACAGAAGTTTTATAGCCCAAAATTAGTTGGAAATCAACAAGTACAATAGTAGAAAAAGCAAGTAAAAGGACAAAGCTTTATACCTCTTGAAGAGAAGAAGCAATTCAAGCAGCAAAACCAAGCAAACAACACCCTCTAGAGTTCAAATCAAGCTCAAAGATACTTTAGCTCAAAGAGGAGAAGATTTGGTTAAAGGTGTATAGGCAAAGATTAAGGAATTGTAGGCAAAAGTGTAGAGATTTGGTAGAGAGAAAGAGAGAGAAAAATTTTTGATCTCAAAATTTTTTAACCTTAAAACATGAGAAAGGGGGCTCCTATATATAGAAAACATGTTTTCTCTACAAGGACATCCAATCCTACACGTGTGTGCAAATGCATGCATCTGTGCAAACAGCTTGCATAGCTGGCCTAAAATACCTACAAAAGAAACTGGTGGCCGACAAGCCACATCAGGTGATGGCCGGCAGCCCATAAGGGTGGCTGGCAGACCACCAAGAGCTGCAAGCTTTAAAAGCACAGGGTTTGGTCCAAAAACAGAACAATAGATGTGTAGGGTTTGAAAGGCTCAAAGCTACAACTTTCTGCTGAGGACATCGAGCACTGGACAAGCATTTACACTTATCATTGGGTGTGCATGTGATGGCGTCCAAGTCGTAAGGGCCGTAAAAAATGGGGTGTCTACGCACTCAAGCATCAACTCTTCTGCTCGAGTGGACTGTGCGTATATCAGATCGCAAAAATGACTTTTTACATCACTTTTATCAATATTTTCTTCTAAAAACCCTAAATTGACACCTTATCTCTCTAAAATACTCTCTCTCTACTTTTTCTCCTTGATTCGTTGATCTCTTCGCCCTAGTATCTTTGGAAAAAGGGTAAGGCATCTTGGGAGCTTCACTTTGAACCGATTGAAATTTGGTTTCAGTGTCATTGGAGTTTCATGCTTGCTCCATTAGTCTTCTAAACTAGAGGTAGGGACTCTCTACACCTTAATATGGGTTTTAACTTGGTTATAGGTCGTTGTGTGAAAATGGTGGGATTTGGAAATGTTTTGAGCAAACCTAGGGTTTGGGTTCAAGGTTGAAAAGAGGGTTTTTCTATGTGAGTGTTATATAAATTATTATGAGGTTTGGATATGAGGATTTTGGTCTTTGGATTGATATTTGGAAAATGGGGAGTTTTGCCTTAAAATATCTTGGCTAGTTATTTTGTACAAATAATTAAATTGGTATCGGGAATGTGAAATTGGGATGATGCATACATGAATTGTGTTGTTAGATTTGTTTAATCACTCACCTATGGAAATTTAATGAATTATCTGTTATAAAGATTGTATATCTGTTTAGAGATAATTGTTTTAGGCTATCGGTGGAGGATAGTCACGATTGTTGTAGACATTGTATGTGGATTAGGCGAATTGAAACTAATTCTTTAACCATTATCAGTGAATATGATTATGAATGATATACATTGCATATATATGATATTTGGGAGGAGAAAGGGAATGAATTCCATGTTTTGAGAAGAAGAAAGATGATGGACTCCATTAAACTAAGTTGGCCAGTGTGTCTAGGGTGAAAGTTCCGAAAACCATTTGTATACATGGGTGCCGATTCCCGCGGACGAAATTTCCATAAAATGGCAAATAGAAGTGAATGTATGGTGTGATTGATTTTAATTTGTTGGAAACCTATGAGGTGTATCCTCTGTTGGGTGGATTAAATGTTGTGGATGTATCTATTGAACCGAAATGAAGGGAATGAAATGTAAGTTTGGTATACCATGGTTTTGGAAAAAGTTTTAAAGATTTTGTTGTAGGACAATGAAAATGTGCATTACACTTATATCTTGTTAATTCTCATATACTGTGTTAGATTGTTTGTACTAGGCTTTGGGTTCACCCTACTTTGGGAAACCATTTTTAGGTACCGATGACATGCTTTCTCCAAGGACGTAGCTTGGGAAAACATAGGAGCTGGATGCTCTATATTTTGTCGATTTGTACTTAATGTTTATTCAAGTCGAGAGCTTTATATGTATAGAGTTTATGACGCTCTCTTTTGTTGTAACCATGCAATGTCTTGGGAAGGTGGAAGCCCGTATGTGTAGACACCCCATTTTTGACCGTCCTTAAGACTTAGACGTCATCGCTTGAACACTCGGTGATCATCCATGTTCGTGTTTGTTTTAAGTTCCCGGAGGTCTTGGCTACGCACCTTGCCTTAGCATCTCTCGACTTACTTGTTCTGTGCTTGGTTTTACTCCTAGGACTTGTTTGTTTTTGCACCTAAGGGTAGAGAGTAACTTGCTAGCTACCCCTGATACCCACCGGCCATGGCTTGAGGCCACCGACTATGTTTTGAGGCTACCGGCCATTGGTGAAATAGTCTATTGGCCGGTCGGCATTTTGTGTGGCCAGTCGACCACCTGTTTGGCCGATGGCCTCAATTTTGGCCGGTACCACCTTTTTGCCTTTTTCAGGCATGGTGCATGCCAGTTGTGCCAGCTAGAATGCACAAACCCTGCCCCCGTGCACACCTGTGGCTGTTTTGCCCCTTTTGCACCCTTTTGGTCTAGCTTCTTGAGGAAGCTTGGACCTTTGTCTTAGCTTCCTCAAGAAGCTTGGACACCTGTCCCAGCTTCCTAAGGAAGCCTTGGCCCCTTTGCCTTGGCTTCTTTAGGAAGACTTGACCCTTTTTGAATAGCTTTCCTTAGAAGCTTAGTCTTTGCATTGTCTATATAAGAGCCCCAACCCACTCCTTTGTGAGGTTCAGCAAAAACCAGAGAAAAATACATATATATATCTGATATACACTTTCTCTCTCTATATCTCCCTCTCTCTCCTCATTTGTGTGTGTTTAGGCAAAAGTTAGAGCATAGAAAATTGGAAAATATAAAAATTAAGCTCGCAAGGTTGAAAACCCGCAAAGGGCGGCCTTGGCAAAAGTTAGAGCGTAAAAGGAGAGTGAAAATACTCGAATGAACCCAAGCCTGAACGACGTAAGGCTTGATTCCCATCTTTAGGATACTTAGGCAACTTCATCCTGAAGTTCAGCCATTTAATTTAATTTAATTTAATTTTATTTTTTGTGCGGGTATAATTCATTTGTGGTTGCATGATGATCTAAGAAAATAATGGAAATTATGCATAATTATAAAAATTTTATAGCATGAACAGATGATCAGAAAAATAAGTTTTTCCTTGATGGTGGTGGGTAGATTGAATGGGTCCAGTCCAGGATTATGATACTCTGATTGATATACTTCTGATTACATTATTGGCATTTCACACTTCTATGAAAACCCATTAGGTTAGTGAAGTTAAAATATTTAAAGAAACCCTTTTCTGGATCGTAAAAGTAAATTACATTTCTTTTAGTTGTGACTTTCTTTAATAACCGTGCTTATACGACATATATGAGCTTATGCCATCTTGTTGCATAGCAAATAATTTCTCTTAATATATATTTCAAATACAATAGAAATCAGTGCAGCATATATATTATGATTTAGTCTAGGCTATTATTGCTTTAAATGTTGTGATGAACAGCATAACTGATAGCATTGTAGTCAAAGCTTTCATTGCTGATTGTTTCTTGAATGAATAATTAATATAACAGGCGATTAGTGCAAGAATCAGAGATCTTAACAATTGAAGTGAAGCCAGGGTGGAAGAAAGGAACGAAGATCACTTTCCCAGACAAAGGGAATGAGCAGCTAAACCAGCTGCCAGCAGACCTCGTATTCGTGATTGATGAGAAGCCCCACAGCATTTTCACACGAGACAGCAATGACCTCATCATGAGCCATAGGGTGACATTGGCAGAGGCTCTGGGCGGGACCACAGTGAGTCTCACTACACTTGATGGACGTAACTTGTTGATCCCAGTAACTGACCTTGTGAGCCCCGCTTATGAGATGGTGGTTGCCCGGGAGGGAATGCCAATCACCAAGGAGCGTGGTAATAGAGGTGATTTGAGGATCAAGTTTGAAGTGAAGTTTCCAACAAAATTGACACCAGAGCAACGATCAGGGCTCAGGAGAGTTCTAGGTGGCTAGTAGTTCATATGTATGGGCTTTTTAGCTTCATCATCGTCGGTATTTTTGTTGATTAGAGTACATCATTTTAAGATCACAATGATGCGCTTGGCATGCCTTGTTGGTTGAGAAGATGAGAGGGGCTCAAATTCCTCTGTGTTTTACCTACTGTCAACAAAGCATGTAGAAATTCCACCACAATTACTTTATTTATCTATTTTTTTTTTTGGGAGTTGGGGCTCGAATTTGTTTGTGTTATGTATTTTTGTTGTTGTTGTTGTGCAGTTACATGTGTTGTGCTTTTGATATAAATGTATATCTGTATATTGGTCTCAATAACATTTCTTGATGTGTTTTGTTTCCTATTGTAAAGAAAGAAAGAAAAAAATGTTACTTCAGAATTTCATGATAGCCCAATCTCTCTCTCTCTCTCTCTCTCTCTCTTATATTCTTATTATTTCTACAGAATTTATTTTCTAGTATTTTTAGTTTATTTGTTTATTTTTATTTTTTGCATGAAAAACATCATATTTCATTTCAAGAAAGAAGAAAATACGAAAGTGAATGATTTCAAACAAACCTAACAATAGAAACAACGCTAGCAAAAACAAGGTGAGCAACGAAAGACACAAACATAACATAAGCTAAGACAACACTAACAAAAAAAAAACATCATATTTCAAATGAGTATTTTCAGTTAAAAGAGTGTTTATTTTCATCAAACAATCAATTTGATGAACAATTTGCAATTTGTTATTGATGAATAAACACAGTTTACAATCAAAATCAAAATCAAAATAGCATCTCAATGATGCCTTTTAGTTGCTTATTATCATCCATCCATCTATCAAGAAAAACACAATTCAGTTCATCGCTGCTTTAATGAGTAATTTACTAAGATAGCTTTGATGGTTAGTATTAGGGCATATTTAATTTAGCATACCTTATGCTATGCATGCGTGCATCATTCATCAGCATTGCATGCACCGGGCTCGACGCATCATGCTAACTGCATAAGTATTTCAAATCTAACTTGAATATGTGCATTAAATGGTCGCATTTCACATGCCATCCTAGGATTAGCCAAGCCTATCCTAATTACATTCTGTATGCGTTGCATTAGGCACTTAACATGGACTTGGATCATACATTGATTGCTAACGAGTTCTTTGTTTTGGCTTGGAGTACACTGTAAGTATTTTGTGCCTTAGTATCTCGCACGAGTGTGAATGTTAACATGACAGCATGCTTACCATGTGGCTAGATGCATATGTGATTTGAACTGCCTGAATGCCTGTGGGTGAAGGTTGGATTGCTTGAGTTGGAATAACTCATCAAAATCCGTGTTTTAATCTACTTGCGAGTAGCAAATTTCAAAACATTTTCCAAACAAACAGATATGCGATGCTTTGTTCCAAATTAGGTGATCTAGTCTATACTTGTTTGTTGTGCGCATAACATAGTAATTCTAGGCTAATAACCGGAATAGGAACACATAGTGCTTTCAAAACAAGATATCACGGTTAGTAGAGGTCGATCTTTGATCGGGCGAGAGGGGGTGCTCATAGCTGACCTTCCCTAATCGTACCCAAGTTCCCGAGCCGAGGCAACTTTGGTGATGACGGACACGTGGCCTTTGACACCGAGTCAGGGTTTCCTAAATTTCCCAAAATAAAATATTTAGGTGGCGACTCTGTATCTGGCAAAGCAGTCCATGTTTGGCACTTCTTTTCTAAATTTTTTTTTCCAAAACGATTTGCCGGATTTGGACTCTTTGGTTCAGATTAAGAACCGTGACAATTTGAGAGTCCTGAACTGTAGTGAACCCAATATGAACAGAACGGGGGTTCTCCCTCCCGGGACGTTCGGGGACGTCTACAGTATGGCATTTATTTTTGTTGATTATTAGCTGGTAGTACATGCTATAAATTCAAGATGAATATTAATGAATGTATACTGCGTGTATTATCTTTTGTAATACGAACTTTGATAAATGAAAGCATATTATTTCTGTCAACATTCTGTTTTAAAGATTGGATTTATTGTAGTAATTTGGGGGCGTTACAACTTGGTATCAGAGCGTATCGGGTTTGAATACTTTGAGTACGTGGGAACGATTAGTACCACAACGGACTTGTCTCACATAATTGAGACATTAGTATGTATTGTATGCTCATATGGTAACATGCTTATATGATTCTATGGGTATGAGATTTAGTTCCTAAGATATTGATTGGGTCTACAGGTTTCTGGAAATCCTATTAGAAGAGCACTTGATTATTGCTGTTTCTAATTGAAACTCTAGTAACGCGTGGGACGGTCATTATCTAGGAAGGAAATTCATAGGTGTTTATGTGATTACATGCTTACATGGAGTGATTTACTATTGTCCATTGCATTAGGACATGAGTGAGTTACCTTCGGCACATTTGTAAATGTGCTAATCTTTTTCATTACCGTTATTAGGATGTCGGGATGTGGTGGTGGTAGGCGTGATAGGCCTAGACGGCAGGAGATGCCAATACCAGATGATATTCCGGCACAGGAGGAGGGTGTTAGTCAGGCCAACGTGGCCGAACTAGTTAGTCAACAGGCCATGGATGCCTTAGCTCGCGAGATGGCTGGAGCATTGCGAGAGTCCATGGACATTCTTAGGGTTGAGAATCAAGTCTAGGCCCAAGTAGTTGAGGCAGGGCCATTTTTCTTGAAGAGGAAGTTCTTTCGTTCGAATCCGAACGAGTTTTTGGGTGATCCCAAGGAGCCGCTGCAGGCAGATGAGTGGCTAAAGCAGATAGTGAAGATGTTCGAGATGCTTGGCATCAAGGACGACCAGTTGATGGTGACCTTGGCATCTTTCCAGTTGAAGAGGGGTGCGGGTCATTGGTGGAAGTATGCGCGTGGGTGCATTGGGATGACTTGGGAGGCTTTTTTCAGCGCCTTCCAAGAGAAGTTTTTGCCTCCCACCGTTAGGGAGAAGTTGAGAGACCAGTTTTCTAGGCTGGTACAACTAAACACACCTATTGTAGAGTTCGAAGCCACCTTCACTAGCTTGTCTAGGTTTTCTCTCGAGCTTGTGACGACTGAGGAATGTCGTTACTTGGAGTTGTTTAAGAAAAGGTTGAGGATTGGACTAATGTTTAAGGTGGCCGATTCGATGATTAGAGATTACAGAGTCCTTATGGAGGTGGCAGCTCATCTTGAGACTGTGATAGAGATGGATGAAGAAAGGATGAGGGGCTCCAGGAATAGTCAGGATGCCTAAGGGGATAGTAAGAGGTAGAGAGGTCCTCATCCACAATAGTCCCAGGGAGCACAGTCGAGGTCTACCTTTCCAATACCGAGTTCGGGTTTTGGCAAAGGCAGTCAGGCGGATTCCACTTGTTTTGAGTGTGGCCAGTTGGACCACAAGTCTCCGACTTATCCACAGAGAGGAGGAGGGCAGCAAACAGCTTCGTTTTCGGCTCGTTCTCAGAGCTAGAGTCAATGGAGAGGGCAGCCGATCACATGTTATCAATGTGGGTAGGCTGGTCACCTGAAGAAATTTTGCCCACAGTTGGGTGGCAGACGTGGCGCGTCTGGTTCGAGACAAACACAGAGCCACTAGCCAACACGGTCAGTGCAGGCCTCGAAGGCCAATTAGAGAGCCTCTTCGGCTTAGTCAGTGCATAAATCCTATACTCCGAGGGGTGAGCAGGTAGATTAGAGACCTACAGGGTGCATGTATGCTGTTACCGCGCCAGATCTAGTACCCGTGCCTTCTGTTGTGAGAGATACTTTCTTGTTTTGAAATTTAGTTGCTAATATGTTGATTGATATGGGTGCATCCTATTCATTTATCTCGTCTACATTTGCATCAATTTTGGGATTAGAGTTGGCCCAATTAGCATCTCCTATTTATGTGGTGTCACCTATTGGGGGTGAGATGGTTCTAAAACAAAGGTATCAGGGTTGTGATATAGAGGTTGCTGATCGCCGACTTCCCTTTTCATTTGTATTGATGGATATGTCTGGTTTTGATGTTATATTGGGTATGGACTGATTGTCTTTATACCGGGCTGTTATAGATTGCTACCGTCAGAGGGTTACTGTATGTACCTTGAATGGGGATTGTTTCCATTTCTTGGGGGACTGGGTTGGTAGAGTCTTATCACCGATGTATGATCCGCATGGGCGGAGTGAAATTAGTTGTCTACTTGCTAGTCTCTTAAGTAGTGAGTGTGATGAGGCTCGAGTTGAGTTGCCAAGAGTGGTTTGTGAATACTCGGATGTCTTTCCTGAGGATTTTACTAGTTTACCACCTCACCGAGAGATTGAGTTCTCTATTGATTTAGTGCCTGGCACGACACCGATCTCTATGGCTCCATATAAATTTGCACCTGCCGAATTGAGTGAGTTGAAGATTCAACTCCAGGAATTGTTAGATAAGGGCTTCATCCGTCCTAGTACTTTGCCCTGGGGAGTACCGGCCTTGTTTGCCAAAAAGAAAGATGGTGCATTGCGGCTTTGTATAGATTACCGAAAGTTAAACCAGGTAACTGTCAAGAACAAGTACCCAATGCCTCGTATAGATGATCTGTTTGATTAATTGAAGGGGTCTTGTTGCTTCTCGAAGATAGACTTGAGATCGGGTTATCACCAGTTGAGAGTGAAGGAGGAGGACATCCCAAAGACGACATTCCGTACGCGGTATGGCCATTACGAATTTCTAGTGATGCCTTTTGGGCTGACTAATGCACCGGCTGTGTTCATGGATTTGATGAATCGGATTTTCCGTGAGTTTCTAAACCTTTTTGTAGTCATCTTTGTGGATGACATTTTGATTTATTCACCCTCTGATGAGGAACACTTAGAACACTTGCGGGTAGTACTTGCGTTACTTAGAGTCCATAAGTTGTATGTTAATTTTGGGAAACGTGAGTTCTGGCTGAAGGAGGTTAAGTTCTTAGGACATGTGGTATCCGGAGAAGGGGTGACTGTAGACTCATCCAAGATAGAGGCAGTTCAAGACTGAGAACAACCTAAGAATGCTTTCGAAATCCGTAGTTTCTTGGGGTTGGCCCGGTATTACCGCCAATTAGTGAAATATTTCTCTAGACTAGTCTTACCATTGACTAAACTGACGAGAAAAGGCATCAAATTCGTGTGGAGTGAGATCTATGAGAAATCATTCCAAGAACTTAAAGTTAGGCAGACCACTGCTCCAGTTTTGATTATTTCGAAGAGGGGTTTGGGCTATTTGGTATATTGTGATGCCTCAAGGGAAGGCTTGGGATGTGTTTTGATGCAAGAGGGGAAGGTAGTTGAAGACACATGAGAGGAACTACCCTACTCACGACTTACAGTTAGTGGCAGTGATCTTTGCCTTAAAGATTTGGAGGCACTATCTGTATGGTGAGAGATTTGAGGTATTTTCGAATCACAAGAGTCTAAAATATCTGTTTACACAGAAAGACTTCAATTTGAGGTAGAGGAGGTGGATGAAGTTCAAAGAGGATTATGATTTCGAGCTACATTATCATCCCATGAAGGCCAATGTTGTGGTCAATGCATTGAGTAGAAAATCGATTAGAAGTGTAACTTGTATTGCCATCCGAGAATGAGAGATGTTGGGTACTATTGGGGAGTTTAACTTGCATCTTGGCGAGTCTATTGAGTCTGCCGCATTGTTTTCAATAGCTACACAACCTACACTTGTGAATCGAGTGATGGAAGCATAGAAGGGTGACCTTGAGACAGAATCCCTCCAGGAGAAAATCTCTAACGAGAAGGTAGAGAAGGGCTTGAACACGTATCCCGACTAGAGTATGAGATGCCATGACCATTTTGTTTGTGTCGGAGTCTTGCTGAGAAGAAGTACTCCGAGAGTTTTACCATTCGCGGCTTGCGGTGCATCTGGAAGGTACAAAGATGTATCATGACTTTAGTCGCTAGTTTTGGTGGAGCGATATGAAAAGGGATGTGGCAATGTCTATATCGAATTGCCTTACTTGTTAACAAGTGAAGGCTAAACATCAGAGGCCGGCAGGTTTGTTGCAACCCTTGCCTATAGCTGAGTGGAAGTGGGAGCATGTCACGATGGATTTCGTCGTGGGTCTTCCTAGAACTCAACGGGGTAGTGATGCCATTTGGATGGTAGTTGACCGGTTGACCAAATTGGCACCCTTTATACCTATACGTGTGAGTGACTCAGTAGATTTCCTTGCAGACTTGTATATTCGGGACGTAGTAAGGTTGCACGGGGTCCCAGTGACGATTGTATTGGATAGAGATCTGCGTTTTACGGCCCGGTTGTGGCAGAGTTTGCAGAGTGCTTTGGGCACTAGACTAACCTTTAGTACTACGTATCACCCTCAGATTGACAGGCAGTCAGAGCGTACCATTTAGATTTTGGAAGATATGCTTCGAGGTTGTGTCTTCGATTTTAACGGTTTGTGGGAGAGGCATTTACCGTTAGTGGAATTCGCCTACAATAATAGTTTCCAATCGAGTATTGGCATGGCACCATTTGAGGCCTTGTATGGCCGACCGTATAGGTCTCTTTTGTGTTGGGCCGAGGTGGGTGATACACCTATATGGAGCCCGAAGTTGGTCCAAGAAATGACGGAGAAGGTTGCGCTTATCCGTAAGATATTGATTACGACCTAGAGTCGTTAGAAAAGTTACGCCGACCGTAGAAGGAGACCCTTGTCTTTTGAGGTGGGGGATCATGTGTTCTTGAAAATATCACGTAGGTGAGGTTTGATGAGGTTTGGAAAGTGAAAAGAGTGGGAAGTTGTCCTCTCAATTCATTGGGCTTTTAGAGATCCTTGAGCGGGTCGGAGAGGTTGCTTATCGTTTGGCATCGCCACCATAACTTTTCGAAGTCCATAATGTGTTTCATATTAGCATGCTTCGGAAATATGAGCCGAATCCATTGCATGTATTGGATTGGACTAACTTAGAGGTAGACGAGAACGTCTCCTATGAGGAGAGACCGGTGAGAGTCTTGGATACCCGGAATCAAGTCTTGCGAGGCAAGACAATTCCCTTAGTAAAGGTACTGCGGAAACATCACAGGGTCGAGGAAGCGACTTGGGAGCGTGAATTAGAAGTCCGAGAGAAGTATTCGGATTTGTTTATGGCTGCTTGAACATGTATTGAGATTTTGATTATGTTAATGGAATGTAATAACATTGTACATGTCTTAAATTATGAGAACATTGTATATGTTATGGGAGTTAGAATCATGAGTTCAATATGAACATTGTATATGTTTTAAGAATATGAAATATTGTGTATGTTGTATCACTTTTGGGAGCATTGTATATGCTGTATAAATTTTAGGAACTTGGATTTTGATTAAACATTGCACATGATTTGGGAAAAGTATGAATTGTATATTTAGTATGAAGATATTGTTTAACTTGTTACTGGGAATGGATGGCCAGTGAATAGGTCACGGTAATGGAATTAAATGATTATCGTTGTCGTAATTAGTTTTAACTGTGTTTTAAAACTTAATTTGAAATTTCAGGGATGAAATTCTTCAAGAGGAAAAGGTTATAGCGATCCCGATTTTGACCCGACGCTCGTAGTAGTCCAGACTCAGGTTTCTGAGTGTTGCTCATTGCCTTTTCCTCTTTATTCCTCCTTAAATTTGGTTATTTGGGCATTTTGAGTGTGCTTGGAACGGGT